ACATGGTACAGCACCTGCTGGTGTACACAGTACAACACCTGCTGGTGTACATGGTACAGCACCTGCTGGTGTACATGGTACAGCACCTGCTGGTGTACACAGTACAACACCTGCTGGTGTACATGGTACAGCACCTGCTGGTGTACATGGTACAGCACCTGCTGGTGTACACAGTACAACACCTGCTGGTGTACACTGTACAACACCTGCTGGTGTACACTGTACAACACCTGCTGGTGTTCACGGTACAACACCTGCTGGTGTACACGGTACAGCACCTGCTGGTGTACATGGTACAGCACCTGCTGGTGTACACAGTACAACACCTGCTGGTGTACACTGTACAACACCTGCTGGTGTTCACGGTACAGCACCTGCTGGTGTACATGGTACAGCACCTGCTGGTGTTCACGGTACAGCACCTGCTGGTGTACACGGTACAGCACCTGCTGGTGTACACTGTACAGCACCTGCTGGTGTACACTGTACAGCACCTGCTGGTGTACACGGTACAACACCTGCTGGTGTACACGGTACAACACCTGCTGGTGTACATGGTACAGCACCTGCTGGTGTTCACGGTACAGCACCTGCTGGTGTACATGGTACAGCACCTGCTGGTGTTCACGGTACAACACCTGCTGGTGTACACGGTACAACACCTGCTGGTGTACACGGTACAACACCTGCTGGTGTACACTGTACAGCACCTGCTGGTGTACACGGTACAGCACCTGCTGGTGTACACGGTACAACACCTGCTGGTGTACATGGTACAGCACCTGCTGGTGTTCACGGTACAGCACCTGCTGGTGTACACGGTACAACACCTGCTGGTGTACATGGTACAGCACCTGCTGGTGTTCACGGTACAGCACCTGCTGGTGTACACTGTACAACACCTGCTGGTGTACATGGTACAGCACCTGCTGGTGTACACTGTACAGCACCTGCTGGTGTACATGGTACAGCACCTGCTGGTGTACACAGTACAACACCTGCTGGTGTACACTGTACAACACCTGCTGGTGTTCACGGTACAGCACCTGCTGGTGTACACAGTACAACACCTGCTGGTGTACACTGTACAACACCTGCTGGTGTACATGGTACAGCACCTGCTGGTGTACACAGTACAACACCTGCTGGTGTACACTGTACAACACCTGCTGGTGTTCACGGTACAGCACCTGCTGGTGTACATGGTACAGCACCTGCTGGTGTACACAGTACAACACCTGCTGGTGTACACTGTACAGCACCTGCTGGTGTACACTGTACAACACCTGCTGGTGTACACTGTACAACACCTGCTGGTGTACACTGTACAACACCTGCTGGTGTACACTGTACAACACCTGCTGGTGTACACTGTACAACACCTGCTGGTGTACACTGTACAGCACCTGCTGGTGTACACTGTACAGCACCTGCTGGTGTACACTGTACAACACCTGCTGGTGTACACTGTACAACACCTGCTGGTGTACATGGTACAGCACCTGCTGGTGTACACTGTACAGCACCTGCTGGTGTACACTGTACAACACCTGCTGGTGTACACTGTACAACACCTGCTGGTGTACATGGTACAGCACCTGCTGGTGTACACTGTACAGCACCTGCTGGTGTACACTGTACAACACCTGCTGGTGTACACTGTACAGCACCTGCTGGTGTACACTGTACAGCACCTGCTGGTGTACACGGTACAGCACCTGCTGGTGTACACGGTACAGCACCTGCTGGTGTACACGGTACAACACCTGCTGGTGTACACGGTACAACACCTGCTGGTGTACATGGTACAGCACCTGCTGGTGTTCACGGTACAACACCTGCTGGTGTACATGGTACAGCACCTGCTGGTGTACACAGTACAACACCTGCTGGTGTACATGGTACAGCACCTGCTGGTGTACACAGTACAACACCTGCTGGTGTACACGGTACAACACCTGCTGGTGTACACAGTACAACACCTGCTGGTGTACACAGTACAACACCTGCTGGTGTACACAGTACAACACCTGCTGGTGTACACAGTACAACACCTGCTGGTGTACACAGTACAACACCTGCTGGTGTACACTGTACAACACCTGCTGGTGTTCACGGTACAACACCTGCTGGTGTACACGGTACAACACCTGCTGGTGTACACGGTACAACACCTGCTGGTGTACACTGTACAACACCTGCTGGTGTACACAGTACAACACCTGCTGGTGTACATGGTACAGCACCTGCTGGTGTACACGGTACAACACCTGCTGGTGTACACGGTACAACACCTGCTGGTGTACATGGTACAGCACCTGCTGGTGTACACTGTACAACACCTGCTGGTGTACATGGTACAGCACCTGCTGGTGTACACAGCACAACACCTGTTGGTGTACACTGTACAACACCTGCTGGTGTACACAGTACAACACCTGCTGGTGTACACTGTACAACACCTGCTGGTGTACACGGTACAACACCTGCTGGTGTACACGGTACAACACCTGCTGGTGTACACTGTACAACACCTGCTGGTGTACATGGTACAACACCTGCTGGTGTACACGGTACAACACCTGCTGGTGTTCACTGTACAACACCTGCTGGTGTACACTGTACAACACCTGCTGGTGTACACGGTACAACACCTGCTGGTGTACACTGTACAACACCTGCTGGTGTACACTGTACAACACCTGCTGGTGTACACGGTACAACACCTGCTGGTGTACACTGTACAACACCTGCTGGTGTACACAGTACAACACCTGCTGGTGTACACTGTACAACACCTGCTGGTGTACACGGTACAACAATTGCTGGTGTACACGGTTCAACACCTGCTGGTGTACACTGTACAACACCTGCTGGTGTACACTGTACAACACCTGCTGGTGTACACGGTACAACACCTGCTGGTGTACACGGTACAACACCTGCTGGTGTACACTGTACAACACCTGCTGGTGTACACGGTACAACACCTGCTGGTGTACACTGTACAACACCTGCTGGTGTACACTGTACAACACCTGCTGGTGTACACTGTACAACACCTGCTGGTGTACACGGTACAACACCTGCTGGTGTACACGGTACAACACCTGCTGGTGTACACTGTACAACACCTGCTGGTGTACACTGTACAACACCTGCTGTGTACACTGTACAACACCTGCTGGTGTACACGGTACAACACCTGCTGGTGTACACGGTACAACACCTGCTGGTGTACATGGTACAACACCTGCTGGTGTACACTGTACAACACCTGCTGGTGTACACGGTACAACACCTGCTGGTGTACACTGTACAACACCTGCTGGTGTACACAGTACACACCTGCTGGTGTACACTGTACAACACCTGCTGGTGTACACGGTACAACACCTGCTGGTGTACACTGTACAACACCTGCTGGTGTACACTGTACAACACCTGCTGGTGTTCACGGTACAACACCTGCTGATGTACACGGTACAACACCTGCTGGTGTACATGGTACAACACCTGCTGGTGTACACGGTACAACACCTGCTGGTGTACACTGTACAACACCTGCTGGTGTACACGGTACAACACCTGCTGGTGTACATGGTACAACACCTGCTGGTGTACACGGTACAACACCTGCTGGTGTACACGGTACAACACCTGCTAGTACAGTACTCCCCCCACCTGTACACTCATGTACAACTCTACATGTTCACCTTGCATGGTGCAGCCCGGCCTCTGGGTTAAAGATCCTGCAAATCATGCGATGTCTACATCCTGTTACACTCCTCATTGTCGCTCCCCAAACATTTACAATTTATATATATATTATATATATATAATATATATATATATATATATATATATATATATATATATATATATATATATATATATATATATATATAAATTATTATATATATATATATATAATATTTATATATATATATATATATATATATATATATATATATATATATATATATATATATATATATATATATATATATATATATATATATATATATATATATATACCTACGAATAACTATATTCGTAGTTATCTACGAATATACAGATAACTACGAATATACTATATTCGTAGTTATCTGTTTGTTATCTTTTATTTCCAATGAACGTTGTAAGTCATTTTTGTAAAGCTGATCAAAGGTGTTTGTTGATATCTGTTAACTACGCCAGCCGGCCATTTGAGGTTGTTGTCCAGGCTGTCTGAGGCTGTCTCCTGACCGCCTGTGAGCCGCCATCTTGGTAACCGGTTCCCCCAGCACCCCAGCGGCCCCCAGTACCCCCTACCAGGAGGTGCTGCCCTCCACGGCCGGGCCCGGGAGCTAGAATCCGGCTGGTACGTGCCCGTGAACTTGAAGATTCCGTCCGGCGGCGTCTGGCCGTGACTTGTTTCAGTCTGGCGGAGGTGGTTGGGGAGGTTGGGGGGTCAAGGTCATGACCCCAGCTCCTCGTGACACAGGCTTCAGCTGGGGTCAGGAACCTGGCCTTGGTAGACGGTCTGTGGCTAGTGACGGACTTGGGTTTTTAACCCGCCGACACCCCAATATCACCACATTCAACACTGGTTACCGCTACACCCCGTCATGCCACTTGCGACACGTATGCCGGGCCGTGGAGAACCTGGCCTTGGTAGACGGTCTGTGGCTAGTGACGGACTTGGGTTTTTAACCCTCCGACACCCCAATATCACCACATTCTACACCGGTTACCGCTACACCCCGTCATGCCACTTGCGACACGTATGCCGGGCCATGGAGAACCTGGCCTCAGCCGCTCCTAGTCACTGGTGGGTTAATACAGGAAATAATAGCTTAGTAGGCCGGTCATTACTTACCTTGTCGCCGTTACGTAAACCACTCCGCTACACTAGTCAGTATGATCAATGTTATCCAACCAGGGCGAGGATTCGTGATTCACGCGACCCCTTACGAAACCTGTGCATCTTTTCTTCAAGGTAAGATACCCGTTCTGAT